TGAGTTCTTCACTATGTGACTTTCTTTAATGGAGAATCTATATTGTTTAGCAGGTTCTAGTGCTGGAGGACCAAGTGGACAACATTTGGATGAAGTTGATGAGATAGGGAGTGATGAAGAAGATAGCTATCTCTCAACATCTGACGATGAAGCGAGTGACGCCGAACATGGTAAAAGGAGACGGGCCACGCATAAGGTTTACCAAGAGCTAGGAGATGATGAGACTCCTGACATTAGATTAGGAATGATGTTTACCAACAAGCAACAATTTAGGGATGCTGTGAATAAGTGGAACCTCAAGCAGAGGCGAGATATTAAATGGATAAAAAATGACAATATAAGATGTAGGGCATCATGTCTGAAGGCACCAAATTGTCCGTGGCAGATTTATTTAGCAATGGACAAACCAACTGAATCCTAGATGGTGAAGACATTTGTGTCTGAGCATACATGCCACTGGCTGTTAAAGAAGAACAAGTGATGCAGCTCAACAGTAGCTGCAAAGCACTTGGTGAGGCACAGAGGGTTTACTGCCTTGTACATGAGGAGAACTGACATTTATAATGTCATTAGGAAAGAGTTAACTATTGAGTTATCTGACCATCAACTGAAAAAGATGAAGGAGAAGATTAGGAAGGCATTTGAGGGTGATTGCAAGATGGAATATGGTAAATTATGGGATTATGCTGCAGAGCTTCGATCGAAAGACCCTACTGCCACCATCATTATATCAGCATCAAGACCATCTACAGATTTAAATCATGTTTTCTTAATGATGTACATATGTTTTTCTGCAATGAAGCTGGGATTTGTAACTGGCTGCAGGCGTGTTATTGGTCTTGATGGTGCCTTCCTTAAAGGAGCATTCAAAGGAGTATTGTTGGTTGCTGTTTCTAGGGATGCAAACAACCAGATGTATCCACTTGCATGGGCAGCCGTGGAAGGCGAAACCACAGAGACATGGATCTAGTTCCTTGAGGAGCTACAAAAAGACATGGTGATTGGATCAGGGAGTAATTTCACATTCATTTTTGACCAACAGAAGGTATATTCCATGGTTCCCAAATGTTTATGAATCTTTCTTTTTCCCAAATTGGTCCCTGAACTTTCTGTTACGTTTATGAGTCTTTCTTTTTCCCAAATTGGTCCCTGAACTTTCTATTACGTTTATGAGTCTTTCTTTTTCCCAAATTGGTCCCTGAACTTTCTGTTATGTTTATGAATCTTTCTTTTTCCCAAATTGGTCCCTGAACTTTTCAAGGACCAATTTGGGAAAAATAACTTAGTTGGTAACTATATGCACTCATTGAGAACATGTGATTCCAGGGCTTGATACATGCAATTGAGGATCTATTTCCAGATGCTGAGCATAGAACATGTGCTAGACACAAATATGCCAACTTTCGAAAGAATAATGGAGGCAAAGAATTGAAGGTAGCATTCTGGAGATGTGTTAAGGCTAACACTGAACATGACTTCAACAGGGCATTAACTGAGTTAGGGCGTATTAAACCGAGTGCAGTCCCTGCCATCATGAGCACACACCCTAGGTTTTGGTCAAAGGCTTTCTTCAAAGAAGATAGTAAATGCAATGTTGTCGATAACAACATGTGCGAGGTTTTTAATGGTTTAATACTGGAAGCAAGGCACAAGGTCATATTCTCTATGCTGGAAGACTTACGGGCAATGTGTGGCCGGAGGACGGTGGCTAGGAGGGAATATGGTAACAGGAAATTTGTTGGGAATTTTGGTCCCAAAATTTGGGCAAAAATTGTTGCTGCCCGAGAAGGTAGCAAGAGATGCACACTTTTATGGCCTGGTGGTGACGGGTATGAAGTTGATGATAATGGGGAGGCAACTTATATTGTAAATGTGGAGAGAAAGACATGCACTTGCAGAGTTTGGAATATGACTGGAATACCATGTAGGCATGCAGTTACTGTGATCAACCATAGACAAGAGAATGGTGAGGATTATGTAGCACACTGGTACAGCAAGCACATGTTCATGGCAAGTTATGAATATAAAGTCCCAGTCATGAAAGGAATTAACCAATGGAAGGAAACTAAAATGCCACCTATGCCACCACCAAATCCAAGAAAGATGCTTGGCAAGCCAAAGAAGAAACGACAGCCAGAAGAATGGGAGGGGAAAACATCTGTTGGCAGAAAAGGGAGGTTGATGACCTGTCAAAAATGCTTCAAATGGGGGCACAACTCAAGGTCATGTAAAGGAGTTCCACAAAACATTATAAGTTAAATTTGTAATTAATTATTGTCAATTCTATATGTGTTTTATACATTATTTTCATATGTATGTATTATGTATTTGTAGCAAGAACAAAATGAGGATCAAGCAACTCCCCAAGAAGAGCAGCCTCAAGGTGTTGATGAAAACATTGGAGCTAATGTGGAAAACCCAATGAGCCAAGTGAAGGATCCTCAAAGTCAAGTTCTTAATGAGACACCTACTCCAAATAGATTTAGGCAAACAGCAAAAAGAAAATAGGAGGTTGTAAGGTTCTAAACTAATCAATTTTTCATTTTATGGTATGGTATGCTAGATATACTAACAAATGCACATTGATTCTTTAGTGTGAAGGAAGCTCAAAAAATGCACAACCACGGAAGAGGGCTAAAAAGGACTGTGCAACAACAACCACAGGCCCCTCCTAATCACAAGCAGCAACTACTTCAGTCGCCAAAGATAAAGGGAAACAGCCAAAGAAGCCACGACAACCAAAGAAGAAACCCTCAATGGCTGCAAATGCATCAAAGTGAGATTGATGAAGATTGATTTTTTGGTATTTTGTTAGGTTGAATATGCTGGGGTGAGCATATTTTGTGTGGGGTTGTCTTTTGTGTATAACAATTATGGTTGGTTGGTAAATGTAGTTATTGGTCTAATGTGCAGTCCATTATTGTATTTTTTTCCTTAGGTTTTATTTGCAAAATTTGCTTAGGTTTGTATGTATGAAACTGCATTCATGCAATTGTTGTAAACACTACATGTTGGAATGGTATGCACTTTGTATAAGTGCTTATTTTCTCAAATTTATATACAATCAGGTACAAAATTTATAACAGATTTCAACAGCACAGAATCTTCGATATTATATTAGGTTTTTGGCAAAGAGGCACATTATAATTGGTTTAGACAAAAAGAAATGCTTCTATAGGCCAATAAACTCACAAGAACCTGGATTCTAGTGCAGCCTTTGTAGGTTAATAAACTAACAAAAACCTGGATTCTAATGCAGTCTCTGTAGGCCAATAAACAGACCAATAGCAGATATAGCACTTAACATGCAAAACACACACAAAATGATACAAACTTTTTGTGATCTTCTGCAAATCTTCTCACTTCTTTTCACTTTCTTCTCCAAATGCTTTATCTTCTTCACTAGTGATTCAGATTCAGCTATTAAGACCCCATTCTCGTGTAGCAAGTTCCCATTTTCCACTAATAATCCAGCATTTTCCTTCATCAAATCATCATTTCTCTTTATCAAATCAGCCCTTTCCTTCATTAAATCAGCATTTTCCTTGATCAGATCAGCATTTTCCTTCTTCAGCCTTTCATTCTCGGACTGAAATCGAAGCTGCTTATCTTTCAACCTCAGTAACAGATCCCTTGCTCTACCCTCAATCACCTTATCACCAGGAATAAAATGGAAGAACTTGCAAGGCTTTCCAGTCTAAACAGCACAAAAGTTAAGAAAAAAACTTTATGCTTCTAAAATGGCACTAAACTAGATAAATCTGCAACTAAAATTAAAGAATACCAGCCTTACTAGGAAATTTGGACATCCCCAAAACCTTCTTCCCATGTTTTGGAATGTCAATGTTGTCCTCAACACAGGTGCTAAACCACACTCGCATTTCGATTCTGTTGTTTGACCACCACTAGCACTCGCACCATCAGAAATTGAAGGAATGGATATCGATTCAACAACTTCCATTGCCTAAAATTCCTCAAGATCCACTCGAAAGGACAAAATAGTTGATTTCGAAAGCCTGAATCTCAGGATCAAAGACAAAAGAGCTCTGTTCTTTTAGGGTTTTGAAATGGAGAGAAGCGTGACATCTACGATGTTCGAAGACTCCATTGTTCTTCGATTTCCACCTTTTTCAGCACTAAACGCGAAGATTCGAAAGTGAAAGATCAAAGATTCGCCAGCAAAAAGCAGGAAGGAGAATGGGACTTTTGGTTTTTCTACAGGTACGATGTGCCCTCTGCACTTCTAGGGTTCGAATGGGAAGAAGGGCGAGAAGATATTAAGTTTGGGCAGGAGGTGGGCCCCACGTTTTTATTTTTTTTGCTTGGCGGGAATTTGACGTGTTTTATGACATGTCATCTTTTTTCCATGTGTACATATGACGTGTCACGATATTTGGCCATGTCATCGTGTTCCCGTTAGTTAACAGTACACGTCACTGGATTTTTAACGGAAGGACCAAATCGGAGTAAAAATGGTAAACAATAGGGACTAAATCAGGGATTTTTTTAGTTCAAGGACCAAATCGGGGGTCCGTACAATAGTTCAGGGACCAAAAAGGGGTTTTAACCAAAAAA